GAGAGAGAGAGAGAGAGAGAGAGAGAGAGAGGAGAGAATTTTTTAATATTTATATTTTAGTTATCGGCGGACACAGCATCTTTGTATGTAGTGCTGAGGATCGAACCTGGGCCACACGCATGCCAGGAGAGCGCGCTACGCTACCGCTTGAGCCACATCCCCAGCCCCACAATTTTCTTTTTCTTTTCCTTTATTTTTTTATTAGTTACACATGACAATACAATGATCTTGACATATCATACATTTGAATCAAATGGGGTATAATTTCTCATTTTTCTGATTGTACAGGTTGCAGAATCACATTGGTCATACAGTCACGTATATACATACAGCAATAATAATGTCTATTCTGCTGCCCTTCCTATCCCCCCTTCCCCTCCCCTCTCAACAATTTTCTTACTTAAGAAAAAAGTAGATGGCTTCTATTATACCAAACTGTAAGATATAGAAAATGACAAACCTCCAAATAGTATGGCCTGGAAAGAGGGAGCGAGGAAGAAGGCAACACATTGATCTTTTCCCAATACATTCTTTCCCAGTGAAAAGACAATGGCCCAGTGGCAAGGCAATCCCTGGGGAGAAGCCATCCATCAAAGCTAGACTGGCAGTCTCTGGGAGGAAGCCAGAGCATTGACCCTTCCCCAAATAAATCCTTTCCCATTGACGGTACAATGGGACCCTGGAGGGAAAGAGATAAATACTGAACACTGACCCCACACCCACCATTAGACACGCTCTGTCAATAATTAAATCACCTCTCATTGTAACCTACATAAGCACAGACTCCCTCTTTGGCCAGTGGCTCATTTTCCACCAGGAAAGTGGGTCCATCAAAGGCGTGACTCCACCAGTGAAGAAAGGCTGTGCTGATTCATGTAGTTTGCACCCTGTTCTTTCATTTTGTGCTAACACAAACTCTTTTAGACTGCAGATAGAGCAGTGTGGGCAACAAAGTGACTCTCAACAACAGTGAGCAAAAAACTGTCCACAGAACATCACACCAGGGTCTGGTGTGATTCCCTGATCAGACAGAGCAGGGAACTGGGTGACAGATCCTGTTCTGGAACCCTTGGTGTCTAACAGATATATAAGATCCAGGTCTGCCCTCTGGAGCTCAGAGCTCAGGAAGAATGGAGAACCGGTAAGCGTTTTCTCTGTCAGACACTGTACAAAGTGTTTTAGGGGAACCATCTCATTTAATCCTTACCTACTCTAGGATAATCTCTAAAGAGAGAATTCAGGGATGGCAGTGGCCTAAGACCAGCCAGTCCGAGTAGTGCAAAGAGCTCTGGAGAACCAGTCCTGACCCTTGGTTTAGGCTTGGTTAATGTGACCTTGCGCAAGTCATGGTCTTGCAACTCCAAGGCCATAGCCAGCGTCTGTAGGGTGGGGATTTCCAGATGTCCCCCTCCCCAGGCTTCAGGGGCTGCCCTGGGTGTTGCAGGGCCTGTGGCAAATAAGGATGGTTGGTGACTGAGACCAGTGGGAGGGGTACAGTGAAGTCAGTAAGGAGGGGTCGAGGGAGAAGAGGGTCCTTGGGGCAAGAGCGTCATAGACACCCTCTTTCTTCCCCACCCAGCCCTCTGCTCCCCTCATCCTGGCTCCAACGCTGCCACACCGAAAATCTCCTGAACTCCAAAGATCTGCATTCTCTCTCCCAAGCCGGGCGCCTGCACCCCGCTGTCCCAGCAGCGCGACTTAGGCTTCCGCTCCTTTGGCCTGGAACTCGCAGAGCTGGTCTCTGCTGCTGTCCGGTCCCCCCTCAGCTCGTCACCACTTGGTCTACGCCGCCTGCATTCTCTGTGTGCGGGGCCCGCCCGCACTGCGGGGAGAGTCCGGGATCCGCCCACGCTCCTCCCGGCTCTGCGTCGCCGTCTCCCTGAGTCGCGCGCAGGCTGCGTGGCGG